AGATTTTTTTAAAATACTTTATGACAATTTTTTTTGAAGCTTTTACAATTTTATTAGAATTTTAAAGAAAAATCCTCAGGGCAAGGGAGCTGGTCATCTTGGCAGCTGCCTTGAGGAGGAGGAGAATGGTGGGGAGAGGGAAAGAAAGCCATGACTCCATGAAGGTTTGGTGCCTGCATGGGGGTCAGACATGTGGCTGACTGGCAGCTACATGGCTGGGAGAAGGAAACTTTAGACTTCCAGACTACATGACTGTGGCTGGTCCAGAAGTTCTGTTGACAATTTTTAAATATATCAAAAATCAAAGACTAATTCATTTTGTGAAAATTCTTAGGAAGCAAATTATCTAGAGGGCTGGAGAGATGGCTCAGCAGTTAAGAGCACTGGCCGCTCTTGCAGAGGACCTAGGTTTGATTCCCAGCACCCACATGGTGCTAACTACCAGTCCCAGGGGAATCCAATGCCCTCTTCTGACTCCATGGGAATTGCACGACATGGGTGCACTTACACACATGCAGGCAATACACTCATATACATAAAAATCTTTAAAAAAATTATTTAGAAAAACCAGTCAGAAAAACATATCACTATAAATCAATAGGTAACAAAAGACATTTTGGAGGAGGGCCTGTATCTGTTAGAGTGGGTAGGTAGGAAGGAGGGTATCATGTACATCCCTCCTCTCTTTCTCTCTCTCTCTCTTTCTCTCTGTGTCTCTCTTTCCACATTTGTGCATGCCTCAGAGGCCAGAAGAGTCTATGTGTGTTAGAAATTGAACTTGGGTTGTCTGGAAGAAAAGCAAGTGCTCTTCACTGATGATCTGTCTCTCCTGTTCCATTAAAGTGCTTCTTGATACAAAGCCTGGTGGCACATGCCTGTGATTCACACACTTATGAGGTTGAAGCAGAAGGATCAGGAGTTCAAGACCAGCCAGGGCTACAACTTTGTTTTAGGAAGCCCAAAACAACAACAAAACCAATGGTCTTGGTAATTAGTTGGGGTGAACGTATTTCCAACTGAGGCAAGCGTAAGGAATAAGTTAGTGTTTTGTCTGCATGTGCATAGGTGCAAGAGGCCAGAAATGGGCACTGAATCCCTAGAACTGGAATTATGGACAGTTGTTAGCTGCCATGTGGTTCCTGGGAATTGAACACAGGTTCTCTACAAGAGTAGCCAGTGCTCTTAACCACTGAGCCATCTGGGAATGTATTTTGTTTCACACCACCTCTCTTCTGATAATGCACCTGGCAGCCTAGGTTCCTTTCCTGTACATACCTTCCTCTCTGAATAACACAACTAGCAACCTGTTAGCAACCCAAACTAGCCACCTGCATAAAGTGCACTGTATACTTACTTTAAACAATGAAATAAGTTTCTCCTCTCCCTAAGGAACATCAAACTTTGACAGTTTTTGTTTCTATTCAAGCAAATCCCAAAAGTATTTAGGAACTGCGTGAGCAATGGGCCAATCTGGCCTAGACTGGTTTTGGGTGTATGCTCAATAAGGCAAACTGTATCTTCAAAGTGGAGAATCTCCTATTTACCACCTTATGTCTATGCATAATTGGGCATGCATATGATTAACATCAGATGCCTTATGGGAAGAGACATATGCAGTGAGCAAGGGCTTATGTAATCCAAGCCCATCAGTCAAAATAGAGGACCACCCAAATTATACCCCTAGTACCAAACTCCTCCCTCTGTTGAACCCCACAGAAGGAAGTGCCAAATAACATCAGGGCCCTTGAGCACTTTCTCATTCATGTGGCCTGCTACTCGCTTTGCAGTGTATTCTAATCTGAGCTATAACTCTGCTCTGGATAAAGTTTCCCTGCTACTTTTCAATCTGTGTGTGCTTGTTTCAATTCCTTGAATAAGATGTCAAGGACCTTGGAAACACCAGACCCTGGCCTGACCCCCAGCAACACAACTGCTCTTCAGCCTTGCTGCTGGAGAGTATGGAAACTGTCCCAAGACTTGGGTCCTTTTCTTGCTATATTCTATAATAGCTCAATAAATGCTTTTATTTCAGGGAAATCTTGTTCTCAAGAGTTTCATTTTAAATAATACATAGGAACTAAAACCAGTGCTTTACAGAGACACGTGCAAGCCCATTTTCATAATACAGTGTTATTTACAAGAGCCAAGATATAGAATCAACCTAAGTGACCATGGATGAATGGACGATGAAAATGTACGATGGAGGAGCTGGAGAGATGGTTCAGTGGTTAAGAGCACTGGCTGCTCTTGCAGAGGACCTGGGTTCAATTCCTAGCACCCGCATGGCAGCCAACAACCACCTGTAACTCCAGTTCTAGGGGATGCAATGCCCTCTTCTGACCTCTGTGGTATTGTATACATGTGGTGCACCTACATACATGCAGGCAAAACACTCATACACATAAAATAAAAATAAATAAAAAAGAAAGGAAAATGTACAATGGAGTATTATTCAACCTTTAAAAGGAAGAAGAGCCTAGGTAACTCTCAACTATATTATGGTGAATGAAATAAGTCAGACACAGAAAGACAAATATTGCAGGAACTTATTTATATATGGAATCTTGTAAATATGGAATCTTAGAAAGATTAATTGTTGCTGGGGGATGGAGAAATGGGGAGGCTTTGTTCAAAAGGCACAAACTTCCAGTTATAAGATGAATAAGTTCTAGGATCTAATGTACATAGTGACGATAGTCAGTAATACTGTACCATTTAGGTGAAGTTGGATGAGAGAAAATATTTTTTAAATCTTCATCTCATACAAAAATGAGATGATAAATGTATTAATTTTATTGTAGAACTTGCATGATGCAATATATGGAGTTATCATATTGTACATCTTGAACATTTATAATTATTTTTGAGGTAGAACCTCACTCTGAAGCCCTAGCTGGCCTGGAACTCACTATGTAGACCAGACTGGCTTCACACCTGCTTCCACCTTCTAAGTGCTAGGATTAAAGACATGCACCACCATGTTCAGGTAATACTTAGAGTTTTTATTATCCAATTAAATATTTTAAAATAAAAATAAGTTTTGTAAAACCTAACAGACCCAACTCCCATGCTTCCAGTGACATCCTGTTCTATGTGCTGTGTGAGGTCCATGCTCCATGTACACTGTTCTCTCACAGTTCTCAAACATATTCTGACACTTTCTTGTTTCCTGGTTTAATGCATTAAGTATGAGATGTCTTATCACCCAATCCTTCATTTTTTGTATAAAAAGTCCTGGCAACTGGAAAGGTTTGCAATGTGAATTCCTTTATGAATTTATCTCTAGACCACTCTTCTCATAATTTGACATCTATTTCTTCTTCACACTTTTCTAAAAATGATTTCATTTTTGCTAGACTATATTTTGCCTTTTCTATTTTTGTAAGACTGGCTCCACTTGGGTCTGGGCTGGAGTCTCACAAGTACCAAGGCAGAATGAATGAGGAAGGAGAGAGGCCACCCTGACTCACTCTAATGTAGTCAGCTAAGGAGTTAGTCCTGGCAGAGGAATGGGATACTGCTGTAGCAAAAAGACCCGAGGCTGGACAGTGAGACTCCTGTCTATGTCAGTGCTACGTGCTTGTACTGAAGACATTGACTTGTGTTTTATCTCCCTGCCTCACCCTCTCCATAGAGTTCTTTCTATGCCTGTCACGGATTGAGAAGTAAACAGAGTTAGGAAAACAGTTGGAAAATTAAAAATTGACAAAGCATTGTTCAGCCTTTTGTTTTATTTTGTTTCGTTTTATCCACTGTGTCCTTTTCACTTACAGTTAGGCAGCCACCAATCAGTTCACTTCATAACTCAGACATGAGGAAGCAATATGTTTTTGCCTTCCACGCAGAGCTGCTTACAAAGGGGTGGGGCAAAGAAGTGTCTGGAAAGGTAATTCTGAAAAGTAATTTTGGGTTTTAAACAACTATGGAATTATGAAACAACTAACTTTGCTGGGGGTGACGGGCTCCTTAGCCTACTTTTTGACCTAAATTCAAACTTACTTTCTGGAACTGTAATGAACTTCGATTGCTACCTAAGGTTTTATTTGTTTGTTTATTTGTTTCTTTTTAAATATGTAATTATTTTATGTGTATGAGTGTTTTGCTTGCATGTATGCTAGTCTATCTGTATCATGCAATGCCTGTAGAGGTCAAAAGAGGGCATCTGATCCCCTGGAACTGGAGTTAAGGACAGTGGTTGGCCGGCATGTAGGTGCTGGGAACTGAACTCAGGTCCTCTGCAAGAGCAGCCCGTGCTCTTAACTGCTGAGCCATTTCTCCAGCCCCGGACTTATTTATTTTTTATTTTAAAATTTTATCTTAGGTTTAAAAAATTGCTATTTTTCCTTTCCAACCAAGCAAAACAGAATGTGGGAAAAATTACACTTCAGGACAAGTTTGTACATTTTTCCTTTTTGCAGTTCCATTTTCCTTCAAAGTAAATGAAACTGGATAATTTATTTAATTTTCTGATTTGTTATTGGTATCACTAATGGTAATCAGGCTCTCTCCCTGGTAATTCAAACTCCAGGCGAGCAAGAACCTTCTTAATATTGTTAACCAATAGATAATTCTGGCTCATAGTAAATGCTTGACAAATATTTCTTACAAACTAATTATAACATAAGCAATTTCCTTTTTTAACTGGACTTAACCAGGTAGTTCTTGCTTGAGATGTCTGTGCAGTTACAATGAGGTGGTGACTAGGGCTGACTTTGTCTCAAAATCTTCTTTATTCACATATGTAGTCATCGATAATGGATGCTGCCTTGTATCTAAGCCAGGCGGCAAAAGTGATTTTTCCAAAATAATTGCTTTTCCAATAACTAGGCAGAATGCAGAATGATTGTTTAGCACTTCGGTGATGGAATCCAACTGACTGCACTGATGAGCACTGTCTCAACACTGTCTCTCAGAGGC